TTGTACTGATTCCTGAACCCAGGGACATTCTATCACATTTCGGCCCTTTTGTTTGTTTTTTAAAATTTGAAAGAGAGTCTCACTAAGTTGCAGAGACTGGCCTTGCACTTGTGATCCTTCGGCCTCAGACTCCTGAGTAACTGTGACTACAGGTATGCAATACCATGTCTGGCTCATTTTATTCATGATTTTTCAATGTGAACATTTCTTTAGTTTTCATTTCATGCCAATAGTTATTTCTGAAATCTTTTTTTTTTTCATCAAATCATTCTCCTAAGCTCTTAGGGAATGTAATTATTCTTCAGAGCATACAACTGACATGTAGGATAACACATATGGCCATCCTTTCACAAATAAAATTATAAAAGCAAGTGGCAGATAGGGGCTAAATATATGTTGGTGCTTACAGACCAGTGAATAGACCCACGCACATGCACAAACACACATGCACAAACACACATGCACAAACACACAGGGGGAGAGAATATTTCCCCTAAGGGAGGAAGCGGTCAGAAAAAATGTCTAAGATACCTGTGGCTTCAGATTTCACAAAGTTCAAGAAGAAACCTCCTTGAAGTCCTCGGAGAACACGTGTGAGTTGTGTTATGTGTCATCAGGGGGCTGCTGTAGTAAGAATGAAAGGGGAGGAGACAGAGAACATGGAGCTGTGAGGTCTGTTCAGTCACAGATGAACCACAAGGGACTCGCCTGCAGCACCAGCCCTCAGAGGCAGAGGCCTGAGCAGCCTTGAGTTTGTGGGGATTTTAGGGTCACCCAGTCATTTTAGAGCAGAATGCATGGTTTAGACATGATTTGACGAAAGCTTCTGGAAGGGAGGCACTGAAGGGAAGTTCTCTCTGTCTTCCTCTGCCCTCACGGGGATAGGAGGCCATTTCTGGAATGACAGCAAGCCCCGCATGAATAGGTGATAGTTCTACCTGCTAAGTGTGATTGCTATGGTCATGGGGGTGGAAATTCTCCAGATATCTCCAAAACTTATCACAGTTTTACTCTGATTTAAAAAAAGAAGGAGGAGGAGGAGGAGGAGGAGGAGGAGATGACAATTGTGATCTTGTAAAGTGCTCAACTGCTTTCAAGCTCAACTCCAGTGCTTGAAAGCAATGAGAACAAAATCACACTGTCCTTATTTTCCATTAAGCTGGGCTTCAATCAATTATCTTCATTTCTATCTTTTTTTTGGCCTCTAGCCCTATGACCTTCATTCAACCAAAGTAGTCATAGTGATACAGTATTTTGTATGTGACAGGAGACAAAGTTAGCCAGAAGATTTTCGATTACAATGTTGTTCCAAAGAATAGAGATGAACTAATCAGGACAAGAAAAAGCTCCCCTATTGTTCATGCAGTATGTATAAACAATGCCTCAGGCAAAGTGGCATTGCCCAAGCACCTGCTACATATTGGACAATGTGTAGGAGAGGACACTTACCTGGAAGGAGGATTCAAGTGTCATGTCTATGCAGGCAAACTTCTGTGAAGAGCAAAGGACTTAGGATGGAAGTGGCCCCAGCTCCAGTACCTAGCCAGCTCCTGTGAGGGAGGCAGTCTTGTCATAGGCAGAGGCCTGTGGGCCACTGACCTGTCTAGCTGTAGCTGGTGATCTGAAGGCCAGTTCAGCCAGCACTATGGAGCATATGTTCTTCAAAGTGGAAGAGACCTGTGCATGTTTAGTGGCATGGATCCATGCATTCAATCACATTTTTTGGGGGTGTCAAATTTCTTTGAATATTTATTATTTCAAGGGAATTTCCTGTTTTCTTTCATTTCTTTACATATTCACATTAAAATATTATGTGAAAAACTTAAATTGTATTTATTTACTGCATATATCACATATTTATGAACTTTTCCTTTATTGTTTTATTTCATTTAAACTACATAGATACTTTGAATGATAGATTATATTTGTAATGACTGTCTATGGTCATTGTAATAATTTTGATTCTTATTGCACCAAAGAGTTTTCATTGTAATGGCTCCTTTTGTTCTAGATAACTTTTATTTATATGCTTGGGCTATAAAATCACTCTTACATTTTTGCTCTATAAGTTAAGAAGCAGGGTGAGGGGTGGGATCCAAGAGGGAATGATTGAAAATGAAAACTGTTATTTTTGAACATGTATTTCGCAGCATGAGAACAAAATGTATTCAGCTGTTCATTTTATAAAGAGAGAAAAATACTTTTAAAATTAGAATTATACCACTCAGAGTTTTTAATTCATGCAGTCAGAAGAGAAATATAAATGCTCCATATGTAGAGAAGAAAGTCAATTTCAACAAAACATGGTGTTTAAATAGCTCTCCATAGAACATATTTATTTAAAGAAAGGAAGACAGTTGATGGTCAGCAGTCAAGCATTAAAGTCTGTGACTAGATTTAACAAGAATCAGACAAGAATGGAGCTGGAACTCAGAATGACGAAAGTGTTCCAATTCTGTGAGATGTCTGTGAGCCCCTCCCATCTATTGACCACCAACCTTAGTATCACCACCTCTTTGCTTCTTCTGAGCCAGGATAGGGCTCTAATTCATGGTTCCATGAACTCCAGTGTTGACTTTGAATGACTTTCTTTAAAAAAAATGAAAGACTCTCATGAATTAAATGTGGGAGTTGGCTCACTTCTCCAGCAGAGGTGATGGGTCTGCTCTGATCAGCCTGTACTTTTGTACTTATGCTCCTTTGGGTTTTGTGCTGTCTCAAGAGAAGTTTTGCTAGATGTGCAAACAAAACAAACCAGCCTCCTGACCTCAGGAGTATCAATGAGCCTGTGACCTTGGCAGCCTCAATAACACTATCACAGCAGGTCACTGAGCTAAGAGTTGCCTTGGTGGGAATGTCCCACAGAAGGCCTTCATCTTGTTAAGCCCCAGTAAGTGGTGGCCACTCACAGTGACATGGTGAGGTTGGTCCAGTTTGTCAAGGGTACCTCCTGCTGTCCTTCAGGTCTGCTTTAATCTTTCTCTTATCCTATAGGCTGATGGTGTGCTTTTCTTTCCCTTTTCTTGTACCATCCCATCCTGTAAAAAAACCTCTTTCTACAAAGCAGTCACTATTCATGTTAAAGCCCAAGCATTAAATCTTGAGGTTTTGGAAAGTTGAGTTTTATCTTCACTGGATGGTTTTTCTTCTTGCAGTGATCAGAAGGTAATTGGCAATTATATTCAAAATAAAGACTCAAAGGGCCTGGTGTATTTCAAAAAAAGAAAAAAAGAAAAAGGAATTAAAAATTATAGAGATTTCTCCTACAAGATCCCTCAAAAGAGCAAGAATGGAACCACAATATGACCCAGTTATCCCACTCCTTGATATTTATACTTAAGAACTAAAATCAGTGTACTGTAGGAATGCAGGCACATCAATATTTATAGCACCACAATTCACAATAGCCAAGTTATGGAAACAGTCCAGAATACCCATCAACAGATGAATGGATAAAGAAAATATGGTATATATACATCATGAATGTTTTAGTCCACTTTTTTTTTTGTCACTGTGACTGAAAGACCTGACAAGAACAATGTAGAGGAGAAAGAGTTTATTTTGGCTCTCAGTTTCAGAGGTCTTAATCCATAGATGGCCGACTCCATTGCTCTGAGCTCAAGGTAAAGCAGAACATCCTGGCAGAGGGCATAGTGGGATAAAACAGCTCAGGATATGGCAACAAGGAAGCAGAGAAATCTCTGCTCACCAGGGACAAAATGTATACCCCAAAGCATGCCCCTAGAGTCCCACCTCCTTCAGCCATACCTTACTTGCCTACAGCTACCACCAAATTAACAGTGGACTACTCCACTTATCAGTTTACAACTCTCATAATCTAATCATTTGACCTTGAATGTTCTTGTATCATCTCACACATCAGCTTTTGGAGGACACCTCAAACCTAAACCATACATAGCAATGAAGTTTTACCCAACCATAAACAAAAATAAAATCTTGTCATTTGTGGGTAAATAGATAGGAGAACATTTATAATTCAGACTCAGAAAGTTGAGGATTAAATATTTTCTCTCTTATGTGGAAGCTAGAAAAAAAGGGGGACTGAAGTGTGGGAAACCATCAAAATGGAAGGGAGATCAGTGGAGTGGAGGAGGAGGGTTGAGGAGGAGGGGAAGAACAAGAAAGGAATGGAGTTGACTAAACTATGCTAGGTACAGATGTGAATGTACCTTTGCAAATTCCATCATTTTGTGTACTTTGAAGTATCAATTTGTAAAAATAATATATAGCCAGGTACAGTGGTAAATGCCTGTGATCCCAGTGATGTAGGAGGCTGAGGCCGGAAGATCATAAGTTTGAGGCCACCTTGGGCAGCTTAGTGAGTCTCAAAATAAAAATTTAAAAGATCTGAGGGTGTAAAGCACATCTGGGTTCAATCCCCAGTACAATAGATCGATAGATAGATAGAGGAAGGGCCAGTAGAAGAGTGGGGATATAAGTGGGGAAGAAGGGCACAGTGTTGGGAGTTGCCCTGGCTCCAAAGACTAACTTCCCCATCCCCCGAGAAGAGCTGTCCAATGGTGAGCCCTGCTGGCTCACATGATCCTTACCCACCAATCAGACTAGCCCTGCTGGCTCACATGACCCTCACCCACCAATAAGACTAGCCCTGCTGGCATACATGATCCTTACCCACCAATTAGACTAGCCCTGCTGACTCACATGATCCTTACCCACCAATCAGAAAGCACCTCATGCCGACTGTCAAACCGTTCAACCATTAAACTGTCATAATTGTCAACCCCCCCCCTATAAATATGCAGAGCTGTTCCTCAATAAACCGGCATTTTCTCCGATGACAAGCCTTGTTCATTCTTTCATACGGAGTTACTGGGGATTGAATAGGGCAAATGATATTCCATGCATAGATGATTATGTCAAAATAAACTTGACTATTGTGTATAGCTAGGATGCACTAATAAAAACATAATTTCTTTTCTCCTACAAATTTCACCATGAGCAGCATTTTGATTTTACAGCGGAAGCCCCCTATGGTGGTGGATGATCTTTTTGAAGACATGAAAGATGGTGTCAAACTGCTGGCTCTCCTAGAGGTCCTGTCTGGTCAGAAACTGGTAAGATTTTTGTTGTTATTGTCTTTTTTTTTAACCAAACTTGTCAATTAGTTTTATTTGGAATTTGGGGATTGCAGGGTTGAAAGAGTAGTGGGTCCTGCCCACAAGAGAGAAAGTTCTCTTTTGTAAATGATAAGATACTGGAAACCCTGGTTTATTGGTCATTTCTAGGAGCAAGCAATAAATTTCTTTTTGTTCTTGCAAATTCCCAATGGACTGAAAACATATTAGTAATGATAACTTGAGAAGTAGGAATAGAGAACAGAATAAAGAATAAAGAACCATAGAATCATAGACATGGCTAACTATTGCATCTGCTTAGTATCAGGAAGATTTGCTGCACATTAATATCCACCTCACTTAAATGTTTGCTTTTCATTGGGAAAGATTGTTAGTCCATCTTTATGTATTTATACAGTTGTTTGTGGAAATTTGAGCTTAAAAGTAATGTGGCATTTTTCATACTCTTGTTAACATCCTCCGCCATCAATCATTTGTAACAAGAACAGCATGTTCACAGTCATTTTTTTATATGCCACAGAACAATCACAGTGAAAAACAACATTGGCAGTGAGCTATAAATTATATTTTTCAGGACATTATTGAATAATAAAATATTTTTTCTTGCATATGTCTTTTCAGAGTAGAACAGTAAGTAGTTTATTAACATAAATTATTTATAAATTAAGGTTTACTGTAATTGGTAAAAGGAGTTCAGGAAGTATTGTCCAGAATGATCTATAACACACTGAACCGAAGATCAGAAATTGGCAGTACTTGTTTTTTCTTTATCTCTTATATCTTGGCAATCATTATTACTTGGATAATTAGATTTTTAAGAGTGTTTTTGACTGAACATAACTTTCCAGGTAATTTTGTGTAGGGAGTCAGTCATCAAAATAACTTAAGAATCATTTGTTGAAAAATGCAAATCGGTACGGTTTTGGGGTCCACCATTCCTGTAACTGGATTCTCACAGTAGCAGATGCATTTGGTGAACTGGTCTCCTCTGAGCTCGTCTTTGATTTCAGCTATGTCAGTAGTGGACATTTCCCCAAACACTTTGACAGCATCTCACCTCAGGTGCTAGTAGCATCTCTCTGGATTCCTGCCTGAGGGCTTTTATCAAAGCCACAAGTTGACAAGGCTTTCTTGAAGTATAAGAGAGTTAACAGTCCCACAGGGTCCCCAACCAATGGAGATAGGAGTCTGTGAATAAATGTTCAGCTTTGAATTTTTATGAGGAGCAATTTTTAGACATGTCTCAGAATTCTCCACAGGCCCTCCAGTGGGACTGAGCTCCAGTTACCCACAGAGGTAAATTCCAGTAATACTCCTTGTATTGACTTTCCCTGCTTTCCATCTCTGTCTTCACACATCTGCACTATGTTACTAGGAAAGAGCTTGCTAAGTCCCTGTCACAAGCTCTGCTTTGGGATGAACCATATAGAACATATATGAGTAGACAATTTGGAATATAGACATATTCATGAGCACAATAAATCGAATAAGCACCAGGGTATAAGAGCTATTAGACTGAAATATTGATTATCTTAAATACCTGGCCATCTTCCAAATCTCCTGAATTCAGATATTTATTTGAAGGTTGAAAGAGCTTTGATATGAGTATTCAAGAAGTGTATCTGTCATAGTTTCAAAACTAATTCTGTCAATGTACTTTCCCAACAGTCTATAGAAATCTTGATGGACATTTAAGTGCCAAGCTAGATTATTCTAGAAAAAGTGTATATATTTGACTGGACAATCTTACTTCTGTTTAAATGTCCTACACATTCAGACATAGTTAGAACTGTGGAATCCTAAAGCTGGAGAGGTTTTCTGAATGAAACTCAGCATTCTTATTTAACAGGGAGGGAAACTGAGACATAGAAGGGCAATTTCCAGTGTAATCTTTACTATTATTGATTTATTTATACAGAACCCTTCAATAGTTTGAATTACACAAATTGAATTTTTTCTGAAATTATAAATATGCTTTAGCAGTGGTGATCTTGATTTAAATTTTGTACATGTGATCATTATGGTTCCGGAGCACACAGGGAGGAAGCATTGTATAAAGAAATGAGCATACTGGGCAATCTTTTAGGGTTTTTTGAAGGGAGAATGTGAGCAAGTGCATTTCCTCAGGAGTGTTCACATGGTCAGGAACTCTACAGCCACCCAAGGGGCAAAACCATTGTAAATGCCATAGTTAACCCCAGAGTGCACATAGCCCCTGCCTCTGGGTGTGACCATGATAATCAAGAAAATGTGGCCAAAGGAATTAGCATCTTCTTCACTGCCCCCATCCCAGGGTGAGTGCAATCTCAATATCTTAGTACCCTTTAATAGCCTTTTGTGACTCCCTTGTCTATGATTTTATTTATTTAAAATCTTAGGGGGTTTTAAATTTTAAAATTATTATTCTTGTATTTCTTTACATACCTGGAATGCTAATTGTGAAGCATTCATTCTTTAATGAACTAATGATTATGCCTTTATTCACATGTAAACCACAAACTTTAATTTAATTTTGCCTGTGAGATATTTTTAAGAATGTGA